ATTCAGACCCAACAGGATCCGCTTCATTCAGACCCAACAGGATCCGCTTCATTCAGACCCAACAGGATCCGCTTCATTTAGACCCAACAGGATCCGCTTCATTTGGACAAAATAAACCGATCGAATCCGCTTTATTCGACATGGATCTGAGCGAGGATCTTGGTGATATCAGAGGAGGCAGCAGCAGTCCTGGACACATAATGCACAGATCCAGCAGCAGCAGACTGATGGAGCAAAGGTCTGATTGTGGTTCAGGAACACAGACTGTCTTCATGAGAAAACAGGGATTGATCACATGTGAGCCATAATCAAACATGGTTTAGAGGAAGGTCTGCTCCCCCCCCCCTCCAAATTTATAATTATTTTGGGATTAACAGAAGAAGCTGCTTTCCTGTTCAAGTTCACCTTTGCCACATAAGAGCCAGATAGTTGCTGGTAGAACCGGGCCCTGACAGCACAAGCTAACTTTAACACACCATGCTATGCTATGCTATGTTGTGCTAGCAGCTACATGTCCTTCAATGGAAACTGGGACTCACTCAGTCAGATTTCCTTCTCCCAGTAGGAACCAGCAGCTGGAGCAGAGCGTCATTAATGGGACTGAGGGAACCAGTTTGGGTCAAACATGGAGGAGAAAGTTTCCAGGCTCCTCTGTTGATCAGTTAGTGGCGAGCAGAGCAGAAGAAATGTAAAGAGACACCATGTGGATCAGGTTTCTCCTGCAGGGAGGACGGACCCCGCTGGAAGACGAGGGGTCGGGGGTCTTCATTGGACACAGTTGGACAGAAACGGCAGAGAGGCTGGGCTGAACCGAGCAACTATTTCTGCTCCTATCTGCCCTCCTACTGGATCCTTCTGACAGAAGCTGCATCAGAGCAACATGGAGACCCAGAGAACCTGGAAGAACCAAGCTCTGCTTCTACAGGAGAAGCTCTGGGAGGAGCTCAGGGGGTGGGGGTGAACGGCGTCCATAGGCAGCTGGAACTCCTGCTCCTCTGAGCTCACAGGACGGAGACGGAGCAGAGACGCCTCCACCTCTTCAACAGTTATTAGTACCAAGATGGTGAATTGTCTCCTCTATGGCTGAATACAGACCACCTGGACACCTTTGCAGGGTTCCTCACAACATTCCATGAGGGGCGGAGCTACGGCGAGTGTGGGAGACAGAAAGACCCTCCTCTAGACGTGGAGGTAGGAAGGCTTTCATCCTAAAACTGATCCCAAAGGAAGGAAAATAAAAAATGAACCCTAATTCCTGCTAGGGCAGGGCGACACATCCACAAATAATAATCTGAGGTTTTCATACCACATCAGATTAATCAATATTTCTAGACTTTAGTTTCACCATAAAAAAGGACAGTTTTAGCTTTAGTTGATGTGAGCACAGCAGCCAGAGGGCCAGCCTCTGGAAACATCCCACCTGTAGGATGTCAGGGAACGGGTGGCATCATATCCACTAGGAGCACACATCAACTATGAACATTTGGGAATAAATAAATGAAATGATTCATTGCAGCTTAAAGTGATTCTCATTCAATCATGAAGCAGGAAACATGGCAGGTATCTGTTAAAACATCAGCCTCCTCTCATCCGGCAGAGGGTGAACTCTGAACGCAGGGAGGATATGGCAGGCCGTTTTGACATTTATTCAAAAACAATCTCCCCACTATGGTTAAAACTACATTCCTACTAATAAGAACTGTAAACATAGAAATCCTAAAGTAGACCATTAGAAGCAGAAACTGCATTTCAAGGCATAAAGCATTTAACTTTAAGAATAGTTTCAGATAGCCAGAAATGTTTATACATTCATTAGCTTGATATTAATGATATCTGAACTAAATTTCTTCCAAGTCAAAATGGTAATTTCTGATATCTTAAATGTAAATCTTATAGTAGAAATGATGTCAAGTTGATGTGTGTTGGCTTTTACTTCCAGATATCTAAAATAAACATCCTATATGCTGATGAGGATTGACTCTAATTGCAGATCTCTATAATCCAGTTAATCCCACTTACAATTAACATTTTTACAAATAAAACATTCTAGATATCCAGACATCAACAAGTCAAACGGACATCAAATAGTTCTACTAGTAGAAATGTCCTTACAGATATAGCTAATAATTATATAATGTGTTAAGAGGAATATCACATACCTAAAATTTTATTTGCTAAAATGCAGTTTTAGTTTAGTTTTAGATTTAGATCAACAGAATGAGTACAAGGAATCCTGTACTTTGCTTGGTTGAACACCTTAGTGTGATCTAGAATAGAAATTTAACTAGTCAGCCTTTTTAATCTTAAAATGAAGTCCAACCTTCCCTCCACCCAAAAAGCAATTTTGAAACAATCTTCAACTGATAAAGCATTAATCAATATTTAATTGTAAGATGATGATTTACATTGTCAAAGCCGACCTTTGACCTGCCATTAAAATGATTGGCATCCGTAAACAAGCTATAAATAAACCAATATAAACCAAAGCGAATGAGGCTGAAACATGACTATTAAACACGAGGAGCAGCAACCGTGATGCTTTTAGATCCCAGTGATTAAACTGAATCACATTTAGCCACTATTTTAAAGTAAAAGAAAGGGGGCGCTAGAGCGTCACCTCTGACTAACAACAGAGCATCATGTCGCCACCGAAAAAAAGCCATAAACGCCGACAAAAATAAGACCATGGACGGATACATCGGCAGGGCTAAGGCTAACGAGGCTAATGCTAACAGCGCCCTCGCCAGCGGAACTGAGAACGAAACTGAGGACTGAGCTTCGGGCGACAGAACCCAGATGCCGGCAATGTGCCAGGAAATCTGTCAGCCTCAATTCTGGAGAAACTTGATGAGCGTTTCGACACCCATGAAGTCAGGCTCCAGTCTGTCTTGGCTGCGCAGACTGACTTCCAGGACCGCATGTTTGGCCAAGAATCTGCAATCAACGCACATGAGGAGGGTCTGGGGGAGCTTGAAATGAAATGTGCAGGGCTTGCAAAGCTTGTTACTCAGCAGCAAACTAAGTTGCTGGACTTGGAGACTCGTTCCCGAAGGCACAACATTAAAATCGGTGTAAAAGAAAATTCAGAAGAAGGGAGACGAACTGAGTTAGTCTCTAAGCTCATTCCTGAATTACTGGGCTAACAACATTTCCCGTACCCACTGAAGGTCGACTGCTCACATCGTTCCCTGTGGCCCAAGCCGGTGGCGGGTGAGAAACCTAAATCCATCATCGCCCGAACACATCATTTTCAGACGAAAGTGCAAATTCTACACCTGGCCAGGGCGAATTGTTGGAATATAAGGAGAACAAAGTTCTGATTTTTCCTGACTACACCAGCGTCGTGTTCTATTTGGAGGGCTCAACATCCCACAAGTAGAGAGTACTCATTTTGCTCACTTGTACATAAATCCTATAGGAGGATTTATTATTTTCTAATAAGTAACAATCATATTTCTCAAATCACTGACTCTAAATACAATAATATACTGATTTCTGATCATCATTTTGGTCTTGTCCTTCTGCTTATGCTTCCCAGATAATAAACCATGGATCACAGGTGCATCAATGATGTGCTGTTATAATATAGTAAATCCATGATGCACATTATAACTGCGTTTCTCAAGTGAGAGAACTGGACAGCACTCTAACTATCCTGGAGGAACATTGAAGCAAACAGAGAATCATTTTTCATTGAAATCTTGAGGCAGATAATGTGAATCAAGGAATTTTATAAATCAATGTACTTCAGTAATTCAAAGATATTTCAGCACTACTATAAAGGATTGTGGTCTTTGATTTCTCCAGATTCAGCCTGACTGACTTTGAGAGAAACTCCAACAGACTCAGGTGGAGGCATCAACAATCCCCTGGATCAACGACTACCTGACAAACAGACCACAGGGGACGGTACTCTCTCCATTCCTTTTTCCTCTGTTCACCTCTGACTTCCAGGACCAGACAGAGTCCTGTCATCTGCAGAAATACTAGGATGAATCTGCAGTCATTGGGACATGGTGGCATGGCATGGTGTGGAAACAATCATCTGATCCTGAAGGTCTACAAAACAAGGAAATGATTGGAGATTTCAGAAGAAACAGGAACAAGTTGAATCCTGTTAACATCCTGGGAGAAGAAGTGGAGGTGGTGGAGGAGTAGAAATCCCTTGGTGTTCACCTGGACAACAACCTGGACTGGAGACACAACTGGGAAGCCGCCTGCAAGAAGAGACAGAGCAGACTGGACTTCTAGAGGAAGCTTGGGTCCTTCAGATGCTGCCGATCTTCTATCAGTCTGCTGTGGAGAGTCTGATCTCTTCCTCCATCATCATCATCATCATCGCTAATGACTGAAAGAAGCTCAACCAGCTGATAAAGAAGGCCGGCTCACTTCTAGGAACTCCTCTAGAACCTCTGGAGATGAATACGATGATGGACAGCAGTGAACATCCTCTTCATCAGACTGTGTCTCGGGTCAGACGCTGATCCAGATGTGCTGTAGACAGACCTCTACAGGAGGTTTTTCCTGCCAGCAGCATCAACATCTAGTTGGAGAGTTGAATAAAGTATTCTTTTGCCTTTGAAGCTGCTGTAATTAGGAGCTTTGATGTCTCACCAAGCGTCATCCAATCAGAGCACATTGTTAAATAGAATATGACCAAAACCTCTGCAATTTAAAAACAACGTTTTGTTTAATATCAATAAGATTGCAAATGCAATTATATGTCCATCCCTTCCATGTAGGAACGTTTAATAGGACTTTTCCCTGTTTCAGAGGGACACTTATTGCAACAATTCAGGAGTATGGTGGTGATGAGGGTCCAGAGAAGCTGGATGTTCAGACTAAAGATGAGAACATTTGGTCTGCAGTAAACTGTTAGCTTAGATTACAGATTTTTTCATGGTGTATTGGAGACACCTGACCTCACACCCCACAGAGATGATGTTACACCAGAGGAACAAGGTTCAGTTCTGGTCATCAACTGGACCAGCCATCCTCACCTTTGAGCAGGGGCAGCGGCGTGAGCTCGATGGGTTTCCCTTGAGAGCGAAACTGGGAGGAACTCTGGGACCTCTTCTGCTTGGCCTTCCTCACAGACTTCCGGGAAAATCCGTCCACTTTGTCCACAGATGGAGACGAGGTGGGTGCAGAGGACATGGCCCTGTTGGGAGGAACACATGGAGGTTAAAAGGTCTGCATGATCTGCACTTCAATCAGCCATAGAGAAAACTTTACTGCACATCTAATCAAGATCTATTTTATTGAGCTGACAAGGAATTAATGGCAGGAAATAACAGTTTGAAGGCTCCAGTCTAATGGTGGACAATGGTCCCAGTCCAAACCTCCAGCCTGGAGTGGCTGATGATTGGATAATAAATACCCTTCCTCTCTCCTAAAGGTTGGCTGATGCCCAACACGTCGCTAAAGTAGGCACCATGCCCCGATGACATCATTATAGCATGCACACTCGGCAACAGTGAAGGGTCCAGCAACACCAACGAGTCGAGCTCTTACAGCTGAAACCAGTTGCTGCGCGTTTCCAGAAACACAGGTGATACAGGAGCAGTTTGGAGCGGACTAACGCACTGTGTTTATAAGATCGTCTGTCAATGCAGTGCATCGGCCTTAACTGGACCAATGCCATCGTCAGTTTACCGTCAGTATTTCGTCAGTCTCTCGTCAGTTCCTCTGCAGTTTACCGTCAGT